TAGTATATATATATATATACATATATAAAAATATATACGTTTATTTTTAGAGTAACGCTAAATTAGATTTAACAGAACAGCTTCAAGCCGAACGAAATATTGGTAGAAAATTAAATGCAAGATTGAATATTGTCGAAACAGAAGTGGATATTCTGAAAGAAAAATTAAAGGAAAAAGAAACATTTTTAGTCGAATTGGAAAAAGAAAAATTGCAAAATGCTCAAATTGCAGATCAAATGCAGCACTACCAAGCACAGTCTCACCATGCCTATACACTGCAACAAGAATTACAAAATGCTTTGGTAATTTCTAAACTTTATAATTTAATTTTTATAATAATTTTAATTCTATAATCTTCATACATGTTTCTCATAAGAATTCACGATTATATTATACAAGTTCAACATGATAACTTTATTTAGTAAATATAATTTACATATATAGGTTTATATAGAAAACTTGAAAAAAGAAAATGAAGAACTCTCAAAAAAATTAGAAAATAAAATACAAGAAGAGACACATTTATCCAAAGAATCTGTAAACATTAATGGAGATCAGCATACAACAAGAGATGAGCTATGTTGTGATGATATTGTAGCAACACAAAACTTACCACTGCCAGAAGATAAACACATTTCAGATAATTTTGGGCCTATTAAAAAATTAGAAAAGAGATTTAAGGAAACAATGGAGAAGGTCGCTGAATTAACGGACGAGAAACAGAGATTAGAACATCTTGTTCTTCAGCTTCAAGGTGAAACAGAAACCATAGGTAAGCTTTATATTTTTAATTATATAAGTATAAATTTTATTTTGATTTTTCAGATATTAATGTAATTATATATTATCTAGTGTATAAATTTTTTTAATCTTAATATATAGGATATCTTCGTATCCAGCGATATTGGTGGTTCTTTAGGCATTAGATTTTGTTTTATGAATTAGTTTGAACACTATTTGAATTCTATGGTTAGATCAAAATAAAAAATTGTTTTTTAATTTTATTTTATTTTGCTACGATAATATTCAGAACAACAACGTATAATCTATAATCTCATTATAAGTGTTGCATCTATGATGCATTAACTGATACATCTGAAAAATTTGGAGAATCACATCATATATATTGCGAATCACATCACATATTCCTGTGATGTGCTCGTTTTAGATATCGTTTTAGATATCGATAGAAATAGTGTACACTAAACTTTTAATGCTTCCATAAATAAAATGTTGACAATATTTTTGAAACCTAGCGCCTCAAAAAAAATGCATATTAGAAAAGTTACTTTTAAAGAATTGTTAATTTGTTCAATTTGATGGGATTTACTATTTATCATTTAGCTTTGGTGTAATTCTTCAAAAATATTCTATATATTTTTTATATTTTTTCTTTATTGCATTCATAAATTTGCGAAATTAGATCTATCTGTGATTAATTAATATAATATACATGCATGTATTTATGCAGGAGAATACATTACTTTATATCAAAAGCAACGAGCAATTTTAGGAGAAAGATGGAAGGAAAGAGAGCAAACCTTTCGTCAATTGGTAGAACAACGTAATCAGCAACAAGAACAATTGCATAAATTAAAAGTATTAGTTACAGAGTTGCTTAAAAAACATCCTGAAACACTAATAAGTCCCACAGAAACTTGTATGGAGCATCCTAAAGGTAACTCCACTGATTTAATATTTTTCGTTTGGACATTATTTGATGATTTATAAATATTTAATTACAATTTGCTTTAATAACACGTAAAAAGAAGAAAAAAATATGGTCATATATGTATATGTATTTTTTTTTATAGATATAAATGCTGAACCTTGTGAAAAGCAAAATACAGAAGAATTACCATTAATCGAAGACAAAACTGCATCTGATATTCTTGATCTTCTGACGGAAATCAAAGATTGTAAAGATATATGTATTATAGAACCTAACTTTCATCCATGCCCATGGTGCTCTGGAAGGCTTATTACCGTGTAATCCCGAATAATAAATTTGTTTAACCTTTGTTATAATAAATTACATTTACACGACATAAATTAGTGTAGAATAGTGATACTTGTACATAGAACATTCTTAGACTTTTTTAAACTTCTGTATCTATTTCTTGTAAAAGAGCGCGTACAAGATCTTTATCTGAGGAATAATTTTATAAAATATACAGTGCCTTAACTTTGCAAATAGAATTTTGCAAATAGAATCCATTTTTTTTCTCTTGCACCAATTTATTAAGATTGTGCGAGTACCAATACTACTATATTACAAATAAACACTATATTTTTATGCAATTTTTATTTCGAATAGTAATTAAAAACATACATAACATACTATGCTTTCAAAGCATACTTTCTTTGTGGAAATGCAGAACGCTTGCGTATCTCCTTCATGGTTTTCCTGCTGGCTTGATACGGTGTAAGAACACGGCGTAGAGCCCTTGTTCTCTTGGGCCTCAAATCAAGAGGTTTATATTTTTTATTTTTGTATAGTAAGCGAAGATTTCCTTTTTGCTTCTGGTGCATAATAATATACACTCGTGCAATAGCTTTCCTTACAACACGACTATAATACAAAAAGGATTCTGATAAATATATGTAAAATATACATAATTTATATTAAAAATATTGCGGATTAATTCAATATGTTGCACATATATATAGAATGATGTATTTTTATAAGATATTAACAGATTTTAACATTTTTTTTATGAATATATCTTAAGTATATAAATATGTTAACAAGATAGATGCATTTTCATAATTTTATATAATTTTATAAATCATTTAAATCATATTTTAAGATGTTATGAACGAAGTTATAATAAATTAGAATTATAAAAACTTACATCTTAGACAGCTTTGAAGCAGCTCCTCCAGTTACTTTGGCCACTCGTAGAGTGGTCAATTCTGTTTTGAGCTGATCGAGCTGTTTCATCAGCTCCTTTTTGTCTTTGGTCCTTAATTCAGAACATTTCACTTTTGCCTAAAACGATTCAACACATGTAAGTACATTCACACATGTAGCATACTAACAAATAATAACAAATAATAAAATTAAATTGCTACATGCGTTGTTATAAATCTGTCTATAATATTAATCTTTGTATTTTTGCCAAGACATAAATGCTACGCAGAATACAATCTTCTCTTATTTCCCATGCAATTTTGTAATTTGTAATAATCATGACGCTATCAGTTTTAGATACTGTAAGGTTATGTGATATAATCTTTCTTGTGAATTGAATTAGAAGGAATATTCAAGACTCGTCAATTAGATTGTAGCAATTGCACAGCTTTTATTAAATAAATATAATATATTAATTGTTGATGTTTTAAATAAATTCAGATTACAGCTTCCTAACACACTAACCATCTTGAACCGATTTTCTTGCCACAGGAAAAAGAAGCATGAAGGAAACGGAGGAGGAACTATAGCCTCGACAAAAACAGGATGACCAATATGAATCATATTATATATCCCTAGAATGTTACAGTTTCTAAAAAACTTTGTTGAAAGGTGTCAATTGAGGCTACAAAACATGTTTTAATTAATCAATTGATAACATTTTTTATTCTGATTAGTCAATCAAACATCTCAAAATATTTGAGTGCATCCGAAAACAATCTAGGCTGCATTCCGATATTCACTGCCAGTACTGAAAATCTATAATATACGTGACTTATAACGAATTCTATTCACTGCACTACACCGAGTTAGTGCATACTAAATGCTGATATACATGAAATTATTGAAATGTAAAAATACATAAACATTTCAAAATAATTAATAAATAATTAACAATGAATTTGTTATTATTTAGTTAAATATGAATTAATAATTTCATTATTAAGGAAGTGATATTATGCTACATTTAGATATTTCAGTGTCGATCCACAATAGGTGATTTAAGCTTTAAGAAGTAAGAAATTGACCAATTATAATCGAATATGAAAAGATACTCGACTATGATTAGTCAATTTCTTACGGCTTAAAGATTAAATACTTATTGTGGACCGACACTCATATGTAGCAATCTTTGTTATAATCTTTAATGTGCCTAAGTGTCGGTCCACAATAAATATTTAATCTTTAAACCGTAAGAAATTGACCAATCATAATCGATTATTCTTTTCATATTTGATTATAATTGGTCAATTTCTTACTTCTTAAAACTTAAATCATCTATTGTGGACCGACACTAACCTGGTGTAGTATAGTGAATGGAATTCGCTATTAAACTATATAATTTTCAATACTGGCAGTGAATATTGAAACGCAGCCTTAGTATCCGGAAGAATTCAAAAAGAATTTGCTGTTTAAAGAATAAAGATCTCTTTTCATGTATCGCTTATTTTAACGTCAGTCACATAAAATTAAAAATAATTATTAAAATTTAAATTTCACTATTATATATTCACTATAATTTCACTATTTTGTATCAACATTGACTAGCTATTTGACGTTAAAAATGAGCGATGGGTAATAAAAAGGTATCTTTATATTTAGGTTTCTATAATTATTTTTTATTGTCATGCATTATATATTGTTCATAAATTCTTTGAATTTCATTGTTTGATTAAAATATAAAAATAAAAAATAAAACATGTATTCCAAACATATTTTTGATAAGTTGTAGAAAGCATCGATCATTCGTACACTACACATTCGTACACGTGTATTAGTTTCTGTTTACGTAGATGATTTAGGCCTTAAGCCATAAGAAATGGACGAATCAAAGTCAATGAATAGGAGAATAATCGACTATGATTGGTCAATTTCTTAAGTCTTACGCCTTAAAATTTCATTGTAGATGCCGCTTTATGTTTGTCTAAATGTAAAAGTTGAAATTATTTTATATTATATTATTAATAAATAATTATGATTCTATTTTTATTTGTTTATTATACAAAACAAGTAAGTTGAAAAGAAATATTAGTTACCTTGACCTATATGAATCGTTCCTATCCACGTATTATCTTATCCTTTTCTACATCTTTTAAGACAGTTTGATCGACCCTGGTTTTGATTCGATGCTCCGTTCAGTACTATATGTCGATGACATGTATGTATCATAATAAAGATCATTCTTCTATATAACAATTTGAGAAAAATTTTAAATAAATCAAAAATATTTTGGGCGATTTATGAAAACTTCTTGTAACTTTGATAAATTAAGACAAAGAATAAGCATTTATTTTTATTCCTAACCTATAAGTGGTATTTATGACATTTTTTTTAGGAGCAAATTATATCTTTTTACTTATAATCGAATTAAGTCTTAAAACAAATAATTATTCAACTTAGAATTTTATTGTAGATTTTTAATTTAAACTGATGAAAAACGTAAAAAATGGGAAAACATGAAGTAGGTACACCAAAATATATAGCTAATAAGATCAAGGCAAAAGGATTACAAAAGTTGAGATGGTACTGTCAAATGTGTCAAAAACAATGTCGGGACGAGAATGGATTTAAATGTCACACAATGTCAGAGTCGCATCATCGGCAACTATTATTGTTTGCTGAGAACGCACATCGGTATATGGATCAATTCTCACGAGAATTTTCACAAGGATATCTGAATTTGTTAAAGAGACAATTTGGCACTAGAAGAGTACCAGCAAATCGAGTGTACCAAGAATATATTTCTGATAGAGGACACATACATATGAATGCAACTCAGTGGCTCACCTTGACTGCATTTGTAAAATGGCTTGGACGTACTGGACAATGTGTTGTCGATGAAACTGAAAAAGGTTTGTAGACTCGAAGTATACTTTTTACAATTGGAAAATTAAAGATTTGTTCATTGTTATAATTTTAGATTTCACAAAATATATCTTGTTTATTATAGGTTGGTATGTAACATATATTGATAGAGATCCTGAGACACTTGCTGCACAGGAGAGAAAAGTAAAAAAGGAGAAAATGGACAAAGATGATGAAGAGCGACTAATGGAGTTTATTGACAAACAAATAGAAAAAGCAAAACAGGATTCAAAAGAAGAGGAGGGCGAAACGTCTAAGATACCATTGATGCGTCCCGAAAATGATACACCTTTAGTTCTTGATATAAAATTAAAACCAAAACCAAAATTACTTCCTATAATCGATATAAAGCGAGAAAAGATAAAAAATGAAGATAGCCAAAGCAAACCAGTTTTGAGCAAATCAGTCAACGAAAAGGATGAAAAATCCAAAAGGTCTAACGATGACAGTGAGACAGGATCTGTCAAGAAGTTAAAAGGTGACGACGATCATTCTGTATCTGAAGGTTGGCTTAGAGAAGGTTTAATGGTCAAAGTAATTACGAAAAGTCTGGGTGATAAATATTATAAAGCCAAAGGTATTATTCAGTCAGTTGAAACAGATGGTTTTGTTGGTAAAGTAAAACTGAAGACACCAGAAGAAGTTAATGGACATGTTATAAAATTGGATCAAGAATATTTAGAGACAGTAATTCCCGCGATAGGTAAAGAAGTCTTAATTCTTTGGGGAAAATATAAAGGCATAAAAGCGATAGTGAAGAAATTGCATATAGAGTATTATAGTATAGATATTGAACTTGAAAAAGACAAAAAAATTTTGAAGAAACTTCCATATGAACAAGTATGCAAGTATATTGATTGAGAAGTAATTGTATAGAAGAAGACTGGGAAAAATAAAATATATTTTAATATTGTAATGTCTCATATTAGACTTATTTCATTATATCATAGAGCACCTGTGTACAAATTTACAGCCAATTGTGAAATGTCAAACTTCTATATTAAGTGTTTTATATGCAATCTTAAAAATTATTTTTGTGAAATTTTATTTTTTTACCTTTTTTTTTATCAAATATTACATGTATTTTATTGGTTACATTTCATATCAATGTGCATATCAGTTCTGTATGCAAACATAAAATTTGTGAATACGTAATCAATTATATTATTGTCTAAAACACTGTAATTTAGACATTAGAGATTCTGAAATAACTG